ACATTAGCTGTAATGCTGTAGTAATGTGCCAGAGAAATGGAGCCCTAGGACCCTTACAAAGTGCCTGGCCACTGTGATTAACCCATTCTGTCTTTCAACAGGCAGATGGCACATGAGAAGTTAACTTTCCAAAGGCAGCAGGATGTTGCAGGATCAGCATGATGCTTGACAAATGTTTGAGCAGTTTCTGCTTTACAATTGCTGTTCAAACACAGAAATAAGAGGGTATATGCTTTTTCCCAATCAAGGTTTAAACGGACCTTTTGAGCATTATGAATGCAACCTTAAAAGTTAGTCTATCTCACAATATTTATGTTTAGCTTCAGATCTTGGTTTCCCCTTTATGTTTAATGTGATTAATGGTTGATAGGGTTATCTAGAGATGTCCATAGATGTTTATGGCTTTAACTAAATGCATGGAGACAGCTGGCTCCAGCCAACCTCTACCTCTTTTAGATGGACAAGAAGCGAGAGAACAGAGCTTGAAGCCTGCTTTAAGCCTGCTTTCCATGCAGCCTCCCCTTCTCTTGCATCCTTTGAGCAGCTGGTGGCCACTGGTGTGCCTTAGAGCAGATGCACCTGCCGGTAAAGGTGCCAAAGAGCTGTTCTGGCAGCTGTCTGCCACCACAGGCACAGCATTTCCTGGGCCAGCTCTTCCTCAGCAGGGATTTTCCTCCAGCCCAGAGATCTCCTGTTTGGGGTTTGGACACTGTTTCATTGACCTCATCTGTCACACTAATGATGGTGTCCAAAGTATGTGTTAGCATCCCTGCCTTTCATAGCTTTAAAGACTTAACAGGGATGTCCCTGCTATAGCCATGTGGTGGTGAGGTGATGTGGCCCTGTATGCTGTGACCCTGAGGTCAGTGGTACCTGATACAGTCTCCAGGAGAAGGGCTGAGGGGGAGGGGATGGGAACATGGTGGGTGGAACGGGGAGTCCATCCCTTTGACAGATGTCAGAGTGAAAGAAGAGTCAAGCTCTCCCCGCTTGTTCAGGCTTCTGTGATGGCAGAAGGGCAGTCCTGAGCTCTGAGCTGCGAAATTGATCCATCACTGACTAATGTTACATGTACTTCAGAATGTGTGGCAGAACATAATATAAGCTTTTTTAAAGGCTCCTGATGAAAGGGGAATTATAATACTTGCTTCTAAACAGGTGAGGGACTCTGTGTTTCATGTGAAATTGCAGGTTGTATTTTCCCGTGGAATTTGCAGGCTACAAAGTATATTTAGATGCTTCACTGGTTCTTGGTAAGGTGGTATCGTACGCAGTTACACCTCTCCAATTTTTCATGACACTTATGCTATTGTAAGAGCTCCTAGAGTTGAGAGCACTAAGGGATTTCAATGTTTTGATTCCTGCATCTTCTGTAGAAAGTGGATTGTTTTATTCCAGAGCTTGCATTGCGTGGGCACCAGTGAAAGACATGGGAATGTCAGGTGAGAAAAGAGACTGGTGCTAGGTGTCTGCAGGAAATTGGTTAGTTTGATCAGCTAGAGGGCACCAATATTTCTTCTTAGGGCTGTTAAATTAGGCCATGTGGACTGCCAGCATATGGATGCATGAGAGAAACATGAGGGCTTTGCGAAACAGTTGTGCTAAAAATAATTTTTGGTGTTATTTTTAATAATGCTATCACAGATGAAGAAAGCGAGGTAGAAGTTTGTACCCTGGGACATTTCTTTCTCCTGCTTTATAGAATAAACACTATAAATCCTTGAGTGTTTGTTTGGCTAGGTAATGCTTTCCAGAAATATGTCGATGAAATAGGCATCAGAGCCATAAAATACTTCCCTGTATTTATATTTTAAATATGCAATAAAAAGTAAGTAAATTTTAGACTCCTAAGCACCAAAATTGCTTCTGAAAAGAGAGCTTGGATGTTAAAATCCGATATTTTAAAAAATAAAGTTTTTAATATTGCCAGAACTGCACAGTCAGTGTTTTGTGATCAGCGGTGTTAGTAGGCTCAGCTATATCCTAGTAAGTTTTGTTGCTGTGAGGGCATGAGAAGGATCCTGAAACTGTTGAAGGGAGCAGGAATATTGTAGGATTACCAGTTGATTGGTTAATTTAGAGGATTATGTTTTTAATGCCAAAAAATCCAGTTGCACAGAATTGCAGAGTAACTTAGGCTAGAAGGGATTTTTGGGGATTCTCTTCCCAGACCTGCTCAAAGCAGGTGCATGGTGGTTTTGCATGGTGTCACTAACTTACTTTTATATGGTTTTGATTTGTGCAAGAAAGATTAACTATTTAGGTGTTTTTCTTTTTGTGTAGTAGAGAGGCAAATAGCAAAGAAGGATAAAAAGCCATCCAGATAACATTTAAGCATCACCAAATATCCCACAGCATTTCACATATATTGGTTTGGGGGTTTTTTTTAGAAAAAAATCCATTTCTTTAGGGTAGCACAAGGAACTTAGTTTAAGCATTTGTGAATCAATTTTAAATTGTTCTTTTCATTGCTGACTAATATGCAGAAGGAATTGGTAAACAGTAAGGGCAAAGGCTATACAGCATTATTTTAGCCAGAGGTTCTGTTTAGACTTAATCGCTATAATGCAGTGTTAAAATTTACAAAACAGCTTGTAATTGCAGTAGCTTATTTAAACCAGCTATTTGTGGTTATGTCTGCTGAGGAAACTTAAACTTCAATGTTCCCCAGCCAACTAATAGCAGCAAATTGACTGCGGGTCTCTTGAAGGAATATCTAAATGTAGGCTGTTGAATAATCCCTTTGGGGGCCCTGTAACTATTTTTGTGCCTGGATATGCGTCATCAGTGGGTATTTTCTCTGGTGACTAGCTTACATCAGTAGGTCTCCTACCATACGCTCTATCAGTGAGTGACTTATGATTGATGGGAGTCACGGCTGCTGTTTAGCTTTTATCTGTGACCTCAAATAATGGACAACAGGAATTTCCAGGCTGTTAAATTCCTTGAATGACTGAAGACACGGGATGGCTCTGCTGATAAACGCAGGTAGTACCCAGATACTGGGTGTTCACCGGGGGCTGAGGCGGGGAGGAAGGAGAGGGGGGTTCCTCGTCTGCAAGGCGGTGAATCCGGCGCCGACGTGTAGCCGTAAGGTGCGATTCCCGGACGCCAAGGAAGTGGCCGCGCGGAGGAGCGTCGAGCGACCGTGATGCTCTCTCCCGAGCTCTCCAGCCATCCGTGTCCGCCGGTGGCACTGGCGTTTCAATGTGTTTTAACTGGCTGATCTTTAGGGCAGGTTGTCAGTTCATTTTATCCCAGGGAGACACGCTGTTTGCAGCTCTGCGGAGGGAAATGCTGTGGAATTTTCAGCTGCAGTGTGGTTGGTTTTTTAACCCTTTTTGTTACCGACTATCAGCGGCGAGTGGATTTATTGGAGTGCTTCACCCAGGTGCTGCCTGGGCTGAATCTGAAGGTGCAGTAGGCTACATGGTCTTAAGGTTAAGTTGCACCTGCCACAGTGACCCACTGAGCATGCAGTCGTAGTTAATTTCCTAGTGTTCAGTACTTCATATTAAGAAAAGAAGGACTGCAGACACTGTTATCCCCTCTTTCTCTGTCCACTCTGCCTTTCTGTCAGAAGCTGACAGGCGAAATGGGGCTGCAAGACAGCTACAAGATTTTTTGTGTTACCTGTGATGAATTTAGCAGCTCGACTCAGCTCTACGGCGAGGTACTTTGTCATTTCTTCTTCTTTCCCTCTTATTCTTCCTGTCTCAATCCCTTTGATACAGCTGTGATGGGAAACAGGAGATCAGCTCTCTGTGAACTTGTGCTCAGAAGTGTCTCAAGCCGTTCTCCTGGCAACCAGGGAGAAAAAATGACAGACATGGATACTCCCAGTGTGATTGATGATTAAAAAAAATAAAAATTCTTAATGCTGTTTATCGCGCGGCATTGTTTGGCTGAGGGAGGATAGCAGCTGGATCCAAATTCTTCCTCACCACTTCTTCCTGTTGGCAGGTGGCCTTCTACACAAGCTGGGCTTGTGAACTCTCATGCGGGTCTTACTTATTTGAGTACCTACTATTGTTTTTCATTGAGGTGACAGCAGATTGGGCTTTGTGCGAGATTTTGAGACTTGAAAAGCTTCAGAGGGAAAACAGGAGCTTCATTTTAACTCACCCGTATGTCTCTGTTAATGAATGAAACCAGGCTTCCTGCAGGAGCCAGTTAACCCATGTCTTTGCCTTTGTTGACACTGTGCTTACAGGTGTGTGTTGTCATAGTGTGGATGGGCTCATTCTGAGCCGTACAGGTTGTGTATACCTTTCTGTTCCTTTCAGACTGATCCTGGTCCAACAAATGCACTGGGTATGAAGTGAGTTTCCTCATCTGATCTGCACAATTGAGTGCTGGTTAAGAATTCCATTTGGCAAAAGCAGTAGGAAGAGAAGCTGCAATTTAAAAGAGGCTTGGAAGGTCAAGGGAAAGGAGGGAATGGAAAGGTTTTCATTGAACTGTGATTTACTTAATTTCTATAATTCCTTATAGAATTCCTATATGTTTCCTTTATTTCTATTTTTTTTCAGTCACTTCAGTAAGACTTTTTGATCATGACAAACTAGTTATATAACTCAAAATCTGTAAAAGCTTAAGCACAAAAATATTTGATGAATCTTGAGTCATTTGCATTAAAAATCAGTGGATTTTCCTGGCATGTGCTTTGAAAATGTGAAGTTTGCTAACTGGTTGATGCTGCTATATCTATTATTTACCTCAGCTTTCTAGGAATCATTATGCCTGGCTACACAGCAATATCTTTTGGCCAATATTGACCTGATTTCTCCCCATTTTTAGGGGTATTATATTTTAGGGTAGTGATAGTATTTTAAAGTAGGTTTCATTTACAGTGTTTGTGCAAAAGCTCAGCATTATTACCTTTCCAGAAAGACTCTGCAGGCCTTCAAAACGTTTCCAGAAAGGGTCATCGTTTTCTAAGAAAAAGTGTTGGCAAGTTGCCTGCTGTTTCCTGATGCTTGGCACTGAGGCCAAGGCAGAGGGATGAAATCCAAACTGACATGTGGCAGCGTGTGTAGGTACCTTCGTGTGCTGCGACAGAGGTGTCATGTTGGGGACAAACTTAATTTAGGTGCTGACCCTGCAGTGATGTCACGCCCTGTGGATGCCTGGATCCATATGCCTACACACTGTTGCCTTCAGTGACTAAGTGCAGGCACCGAGTTCTGCTGGCACAGCTTGAATTGAGGAACAATTACTGCAGTGGCTAAAGCCTTGTTTTTTCAGAATAGCCTTCACCTATTCAATGGCCACCTCTAAAATCTTGGAAGTCACCCTGCACATAGGCTAACCAGATATCTCATCTGTTTAGTTAAAATAATTAGGAGTTGTGGAGCAAGGGATACAGCACATTCACTGAAAGTCAAAGTATTCACTGCTGCATCTTGTAATAAGTCCATTGGCAAACCTCTCCCTCCTCCAGCGAAGTGTGTTGGTGTTTCAGTGTGCAAGTAGTTCCCAGTGGGCACAGGACTGTAATTACCGTAATTGGGAGGCAAAAACGGAGACTGAATCTGACATGGGAATATCAGGGGCTTCATTTTGAATTTTTTCAAAAGATTAAATACAATTCATTTCTGTCCTGCCTGTTAAATCTTTGACTGCACACTCCGTACAGCTGCTGTAGTGTTGGGTATTTGTTGAGGGTCATAACAATGAATTGGTATTTAATAGTTTTGTATCATTTTGACAAAGTACTCTCAGCACTTAAATACTCTTGAGACTAAAGAGGTGCCCTGGGATGGAAAGAACAGCAAAAAAAATTAGAAAGTTCACCTTGCCATGGCACTCCCTTTTGACAGCACTGTTTTGTTTGAAGAGTGACTGCTCAGTCATGAATGAAATTATAAACACAAGTAGATATATGTTGCTACTGTGAGCCAGCTATACGTTGTAAAAATATTCTGAAATATGAGTCAGAGTAGTGATTTCACATCTTCAGGGCACATGATATCTTTTGTTTGTTTTAGTTCAAAATCATCTTATTATAGTTAGCAATATGTGATCTCTCATGGTGATCTTTGTGTTTCCAAAAAGTCCCATTGAAATTATTGAACCAGTTCCTAGATACTTGGAAACTGCAGTTTTGGTCAGTTTGTGTGAGGAAGAGCTTGGATAGTTTCACTGGTTTGGGTTTTGTTCATTCAGGTATCGTGGAGGAAATAAGAATTAGCTGTCACTGCATTTAGGCATTACTTTTCTGTAAGGAAAAATAAGGAGTTACTCATAAACATTGCTAATATTTGTAGTGAGCAGAGTAACAAAGAGCGAAGAGGAAGAAAAGTAGGGCAGTGAAAGTACAGTCTAAAGAAAAGCTGGAACAGTGAGAAAAGGTATTGTTATTTCATTTTTGTGGTATATAATTTTTTAAATCCAATTGACTTGATGAATGAAGAGCCTTCCATCTTTTTGATGTTACTGTGTACAATGATATGAATGAATGGAGTCAGCACTTCAGCTCTTCCTGTACATTCTGTGCTTGATGACCTTGGTCCTGAAACCTTTAGTCATCAGCTCAGTCCTTCCTGCAAGTGGCCAGTGACTTTCATAAGACTGTTGAGATCCAGGACCAGGTTGTCAGTAAGCTCATAGATTTGTAAACATGACATCGAGTTAGTTTTGAAAGGAATCCACCCATTTGTTTGCACGTGGGGAAGAAGAGAGAAGGAATATACTGCAAGTGTTATCTGTGTACTGTGGCAGATGGGAAGGTACCTGCTATATGTCACTAGTCCAGCACCAACTCCTGTAAACTGTGGCAAAGTCTTTTCTTCATGTCCTGTTTTGTTTCCTGTATCTACAGAGTGCAGTAATTCTTGTAGTGATTTTTGTTCTTGGCAGTATTTCTCAAAGTAAGTGCCACAAAGTGAGCATTTTTCCTGCAGGACCTCAAACAGCTCAACAAGTGATGTGCTGCCAGTGACTCAGCCCAGCGTCCCTGTCCATCTGCTTGCAACCACCAGCACTCCCTACCAGATGCCTGTTTTCAGATGCAAAGCCCTACATGAAGACTGGGACAGGAGTGGGTTATCCTGGGTAAAGAGGTCCTGTACTCCAAGGAGACAGTGAGGGAAGAAGCTCCCTTCCAACCCAATTTAAATTTTTCCTGAGGCAGATCCTGGCCTTTTGCATGGTGTTCAGATTGGCTTGGAAACTTGCTGTAAAGGAGCAAAAAAGAAATGCCACATACTGACATCCCCAGGAGCCTTGATAATGTCAGGACACCTGACAATACAAGGGTACTTCAAAAATGGTACTGTCCTGAAGGATTTACATGATATGGCAATAACTAATAACATGAGTGCAGTACAAGGCACTAACTCAAGATTGCAGAGGAGTTTGCCAAGTGTCTGTAGTTTCATGACATGACTTTGTTCCTCTGCAGACAGGCCTTTAACATTGAGAAGTTTTCCAGAAACTCATCCAGCCTTTCTTTTTCTCAAGTATGATTCTCACTTGCTACCCTGCTAGTTAGAAATAATAGCAGCTAAGTTAAAAAATGAAATTCCTTTTCAGGTAGTAATTTTGTTTTCACAAACTTATTCCAACATCCTAAAGGATGGACTCTCTGCATCTTTCTTCTTGTACATTTATTTATTCTTTTAGGCTGTGAAGTGAATGTATGTTTGGGGATTGCTCTGTGTGCTGCTTATGACTGTTTTCGTTCGGGGACAGAGGAGATACAAAATCTATCCATGAGGTCGTGACATCTGCTGTCCCTTGCTTGGGCGGTAGGATATCAATCTGCAGCGTGAAACTTCCTTCCCTCCAGGGAATTCTATTTCCATATACAAAGGCCAGCCAGAAATCCTAATCTGGAAGTCTGTAATTTGGGAATTAAAAAAAAAATGGGGTTATTACAAGTAGGAGACGAAAACTCATTAAACACCCTTCCACTAACATACAGGGAAAAGTAATAGTAGCCAAATTTTCTCAGTCTGACCAAATCATGGACCATCACATTGAGTAAAGATAATAGGAACCTTTGAGGCTGATTTGCTAGTAGATCTTCACCCTCCACTCAGGGCCAAGCACTGGCGAAATACAGCCTGTCTTTGAATGTGAGGTGGTGATTTTTCATCCTCTTGACCAGGAGCTCAGGTCTCATTCCATCAGAAGCTTGCCCCTGCTTACAGAGGGAGCAAGGCTACAAATCAGAAGGTCAGTTGCTTTTTTTAGTTTAGTATTTTATACTTGGATTGCTATTAAATTAGATATCACAGTGGTAAGCACCAGAGCCAAGATCACCTAGAAGGGAATAGCTGTCTCAAAGAAGTATACAGTAGTAAAATGGTGCGAATGAGCAAAAAGAGTATTACTTTAACTACCAGGAAAAAAATTATTATCTGTTCTCCTGATGGAAACCAGAGGAACTGATGAGTTTGAGCAACTCAAAAGTGACCTGGACAAGATACTGTAAAATATACTACATAGATTTTTCTTCCTTGGATATGAGATGATCTCATAGACTTTGGTAATTTCCTTTTTGATCTAATTTCAGGGATTCTAAGATCACTTTTAAAAAAATGTCATTTTCTTGCCTATCTCACTGCAAACCTTCATGAAAATTTTTGGCCCATTTTCCACAAAGTGAGGCATTTGCAGTATTTCAACATGGTGATATTTTGTAGACTCCAGAAAGGTTCTCATGGCCATATCTTTCTGTTGCTCCATTGTAAAATTCTCAGAATACTTGATGAGAGTTTTGCTTTAAAATTGTAAGGTATTTATATCTAGCTGCTCTTTAGAGGCCCAAGTCATATTCATGCTCTATTCCCAGGGCAGCCTTCTTTCTTTAAAGCTACAATTTGGCTTTACAGGAAATAATAATCATGCCTACCATACTGTAACTCAAATATTCAGACACATGAATCTCTTTCTTGACTTCCTATAAAAATGTCATTTGTAGCTTCATTTTGTTTGTTCTGGTTTGACTATAGTATAAACAAGATTTTATTAAAACATTAGCTCTAAGTTGCAGTTCTTTCTTGAGAGTGCAAGATCTTGCAAAAAAGATTACTGAAACTGAAGGGCAAAACCACATATTAACAGAAAAATGAATAATGAGTCTGTTTTCATATGGATTTTTTTAAAAGTACAGCTTGTAGTTGAACTAAATGTACTATTTCTTCCACTGCAGTCAGGAAGCCCTCACAGACTTTTGACAGTGCCGCC